TTTTCACAAGGGGTTGAAGATTCATAATATTACAAATTCAAGAACTCTCGAACATGGTCTATAACCAAGTCTGGAAATACATAAAACTCCATCATTCTTCAAATACAAGTTGGAATGCCTAAATTTTAGTATATATGTTCATACTGGTATTGCAACCCAATTTCGATAGTTATAAGGACAAATGTTTGTCTTCTGTTTTGTTTACAAGGGATACGAATTCTCAAACGGTTAAAAAACCATACAAGCTCCACGTTCTTTTCTAGAGTCACACAACATGCTAAAGCTATACAACTTCATTGCTAAACCTATACAACTTCATTCGTATTTTCGCTTTCGAATACGACTCAAAGGGATTATGCCGGTATTCACCCTAGAAAAGAAAAGATCTATGTACAACCCTTCATAACTCCAAGCATTGCCGGATCCAATACACATGAGAAAGTACTCACGGTTAGTATAACCTTCCAGACCACTACTTGTTTCCTCAATTAATTAATACACTAAATCTCGTTACATTGAGCCAAGGAAAAGTCTTCTAAAATTACAGTAAGCTGTGCCGAGTTTGTGGTGGTACCATCCGTCCTTGGCAGTTCTTTAATACTCCGCCGTAGCTCTTGCGTAAATTTAATCAAGCTTGGTTTTGTAAGCATCTCAATAGCAAAACATCAAAACGTCTACAAGTTCAAGTTCAGCTTTTCCGGTAAGAATTAAGTGCTCACCAACAAATAAAATATGTCTTCTTGTCAAGTTGAGGTGATGTTATCAGCGAACGTAAGAGAATTTTGAGAACCTTGATCTTCAAAAAGAAAACATGAACGATCGTCACGAGGCAAAACTGCAGTAATAGAATCCCCACCGACCCGCATCAACGAAATCTGAGCGAGAGGCGTTAACCACTTTGGATTGAAAAATGAAGTGCCCCAAATGATAGTTTTTTTTCCAATTGGAAACAAGGCTCAAACGGAAGGCTTTCCATCCACCGGATTATTCGCCTGCGACAACAGAAAATTTGGGTTAGCAAGGCACCTGGTCTTTTGCAAATGCCAACAGGAGAAATGGCTATACAACTTAAGCACTAGATTGATGAAAATAATTTCTTTGAACTCACCCATTTAGAAAATCGCTCGCCAGAGATTCCTAACCATGGCAGCTTATCAGCACTTCTGAAATATTCATAACCTTCTTGATGCCACCACATAATCAGACCTTCCAGCTTTTGATCCTGAAACAAAGAAGAGCAACCATAAATGAGGGATTTCATTCTACTTATGAAATACTTTCAGTATCCAAGATGGTTAAACCGTTCAAAGCACATCCAAAAATATTGAACAAGGAAGCGAGCTAAGTTAAAACCTCCGACATAGCAATAGACAAGACCTTCGTGCCCCGCTTCTGAAGAAAGATGTGACACAAATCATGTTCTTGTAAAGTATCCCTGCCAAAATGCATTAACACAGCAAAATGTGAGACCAGATATGCTGATGGTGCTTACCGAGAGTGCGCGAAATGAGTTTTGAAACAAGATTGCATAAGAACTTTACCTCCATATGCGACATTGCTGCTTCGCTCTGTAGCACTTTTCGGCTTAGAACAATGAACTATCCCGCATTCTAACCTGTCAAAGCAAAGCACAACCGGTAGTAAGAACGCCATTGACAGACATGAGTTGAAGTTAAAATGTTAAGATGAATAAAGTTAAGTTCTGCCCTCAGTTTTGAGTCATCATTGGCAGAATCGCGAACGGCCGGGAGGACGACGATCTGAGTTGTCACCAACTCCCTACCAAACGTCAAAGGCAACAGAATTTGGACAAGAAGCAATTGGTTTCAGACAGTTTTCAGCATAACACAAAGCACCCTATTCCACCAACAATAATCAAAGGCAGCGACAATTTCCATTCCAGATTCTCGGCTCAGACGCAAGTCATCATCACCAAGGACAAACCTTCCTCAGCAAGCATAAGATAGGGCAAATGTCTGAACTCAAGTGTGGCATTCCCTGCGAGAAGAAGAGAAAAAATTAACGCGGAATAGCAACAGAGATACGATAATGATACGAATCCGAATAAATTAGTACGAATCGAGAAAGATTCGAAACTTCCTAAAATCGGAGCCAACACCTCATCAATAGAATCAAACAAAGAATCACCCAAACAAGAAAGTTTTAAAGCGGATTTCAATGGAGGCCCATCATCTTCACCTATAAAAGGACGAAGGAAACCCACAAAGAGGATCATCGAGAAAAAGCCGCTATTACAACAAAGAAGCAGACACGCTCAGAGCTCAAACTGGAGGAGATTCATCACCGTCGTGAAGCTCAAATCATCCTCAAGATTCATCACCGCCGTGAAGCTCAAATCATCCTCAAGATTCATCATCACCTCACCGCCACCGTCAACGAGTCGCCGCCGACTTGTGTTTCTGGGTAAAACCTCGCACTCGAGTAAAATCTTATCCGCATGTTTGTTGTTTGTGGCTAACAAATTACAAAGAAGAAGAGCTAAGAGAAGACGACGAAACACAGGAGAAGAAAAGACAAAGATCGGAGAAGACGATGCAAGCGACGCAACGAAGATGGATCTGGGGGGAATAGGGTTTGCTGGTTCCTTTGTTTTATTTTTGTATCTATTTTAATGTAACGTAATCACATGTATGTGCACACACGCATATGATGCACCCTCACATGCAAAATCCGCGGATCTCCAACGGATCCCATCGCACGACCAGCATCACGCGGGCACACTGTAAGACCACACGCTTGCACCCACCCAACCCACGCCATTAATCCCACTCAATCTCACCTAATTAACCTGATGATTAAATCTTAATCTAATTATTAATTAACCTTTTCCAATCAATTTTTTTATTTAATTAAAATGAATTAACAAATCTTTTTATTAATTATAGAAATTAACCTTAATTAACTTTTTATGAAATTAAACTAATGACCTTCTTTTAAATTAACCTTTTCATTAAAATAATTCTTTTATTCATTTATATTAATCAGCCTTTTATCAACTTAATTACTATTCAATTATTCAACCTTTAGTTAATATTTTATTAGCCTTTTATTAAGATAATGACCCTTTTAATTTATTAATTAACTTAATAATAACTTTTACTTAATAAATCATTAATCTTTTTAACTTGACTCTTTTTACTTCCTTTTATCTAATAATCTTAATTAACTTTTTAATTAAATTTTTAAAAGAAAATTAATAATCTTTTAAACTCATGCTTAAATCAACCTTTTTCTATTTTATTCATTAAATAATATAATAATCGTTCAAATCCATTTTTCTAAATAACTTACAAAAACTATTATAACTATTAAACTTTCTTAAAAAAAAAAAATTTGTACCCGTATAATTTCTATTCAAAATCTAAATGAACTCTCATTCTTATAATTTTATAATTAAAATCAATTCACTCTCTAATTATATTATTCCTAAAATCAATCTTACCAAATAATAATAAAATACTCTCTCATAAAATCAATATCCCATAACTCAATCGTGCACGTTTACATTCCCGCTCCGATTTCGTTCGATATTCACAATTCTCACACTTGTATGTTTAACACTTTTATATGTCCGTATGCTTTTACTCTTATGCAATTTATCCTTCAACGCATCGCATAACGTCCAAAGGAAGAATCTGCACATGACTTAAACAATTGTGCGTATGCATCTCATTTGCATCATAATTTCCATATGATCCTTGATCCCATTTCAAGTTGATCTCTAAGTTAGATTCTACCCCTTAAGGAGAGCCTTTTCTTTTATATTTTACAACTTAGATAAATCGATACAACTAAATTTAAAACTATTCAAACACAATAGAGAACAAGACGCGAGTCATCTTGACCGTCGTATGTAAATCTCTTGCCCCATAACAATACAATCAATATGTAGGGACTTTTCCGCTTAAGAGAGATAATGGTGTACTCGTCGATAAATCCGAGTACTCGAGCCTTTCTCTTAAGACGATGCAAAAACTATTTTCCTACAAGTTATGGTGGTCAAGTCGAGTAATCTCCCTTAAGATGACAACTCGTCTTTTCTCCTAGAATCAATCAACCAACTACCTTTATCCTTTGCGAACTTTGACCAACAGTCAAAGAGTTCCTTAAACCCTTTAGGGAAACTACATTTACTCTGATTCCATTCCCGTCAGGATATGTAGGCACAAGATGCGACGTCTTGGCGAGTATACTTAAAATTAAACCACTAGGTCTTTCATCCTTTAAGTAGATAACCCTTAACAATAAACAAACATAGAACAAGAGGTTCCTGTAGAGTACTACATAAACTTAGGATGCTAGCACATTCCTTAAGTTTAACCAACCCCCGAATCTAAAACTTTCTAGCTTTTGCATTTGCATTGCATTGTGGGTAATTCGATATTTTTCCCTTCCTTTGGACAAATAAAAGACCAATGGTGAACATAAATGAATTAAGATTCAAATTAACCAATAATTTGACATCTAATTCTCACCGCGACAATTTGATTTTGCTTTGTTATTGGAGTTTATTGACATGTTCACATATGAATGAAGAATGAGGAAGAATAAAGAAGGAGGAAGAAGATGATAAATAATAACCTCACGTTAAAATAATGTATTAAACATGAAATTAGGTTACACGACAATATGCTGAGTCACAAATGAAATTCAATCCTTATTGGCATGCCACATCAATATTAACGTTTTTACAACAAAACTAACCGAATAGATCAATTTGGTTAACGTATTGCTAAATGATTACGTTGTAATGTTTATTATATAAAAGACTAAAATAAAAACTGAAATTAAGTTAAATGACTTCGAGACTAAATAAATCAATATTTTATTAGGTTGAAAAAAAATAAAATATACCATTTGTATTTTTCACAATTCTAATGACTAATTTCCACTATAAGTGGATAAAAAGAGAATTTCCACTACCCCCAATTTTTGTTTGTTCCAACAGGGAAGAGTCTGTCTGGCGGTGACAGACAACCATGGCCGACCACTCCGACGACCTCAACGAACTCCTGGACAGTAATCTATCTATCTATATCTCTCTCTCTCTCTCTCTCTTCACCGCCCTTTTTCTCTCTCTAACTCCTTCTATTCAATTTTTTTTTCAGGTGCTTTGGATGATTTCCAAACCCTCAACCTAAATTCTTCCCTTCCAAGGTTTTTTTCCTACTGTAATCTTTTCGTATTTCACTTCATTGTTTAACTGAATCTCAAACGCGTTTTTCTGTTTTGTTAATTAGAACCGGAGAAGAAACTACGAACAATAAAGAATCTCCTTCTTTGCCTTCAGGGGTTCAAGGATTGGGATTAGGTTTACCCGATTTGAGAAGCAAGAAAAAAGGGAAACAGAAGGTTTCTAAAGATGCTCATGTCTCTGAGGCTCTTAATAAGCTAAGGGAGCAGACTAAAGAGGCTGTTAAGGGTCTTGAATTCATAACTCCTCCACCTGGTGCTGGTGGTGTTGATGATTTTGGTAAAGATGGTATGATGGAGGATTGGGTTAAACAGTTTGAAGAACTTACTGGCTCTCAGGTAGAAGCTTATTCTCTTATTCTCTTCATGTGCTCAATATGTTATATAGCGTTTATGGTTCTATCCTGTTATCGTTTAATTTAGAAAATGAGATTAATCATCTTGTGCTTTAGAAATTTATGTTGGTGATTATCTGCATTTAGTATTGAAATGGTTGTGTGGTAAGGCTCGACGTGATAAAATTAGAAACGAAAATATTAGAGAGAGTGTCGGGATAGCACCTGTATTTAAAATGGTGGAAAATAGACTTTGGTGGTTTGAGCATGTAGAGAAGACTCGTAGATTTTGTAGTGAGGAGAGAAGACCAGGTGGCGAGGAAGAGAGGAAGAGGAAGACCTAGAAAAACTATAAGATAAGTTATTAAGAAAGACCTCAAGATTAATGATTTGGATAGAAGTATGGTCCTTGAAATAACATTATGGCGAGAGTTAATCCATGTAGCCGACCTCACCGAGTGGGATAAGGCTTTGTTGTTGTTATTGTTGTTGTTGTTAATTATCTGCATTTAGTGTAATCTTAGTTATCATGCCTGAGATAAACTTTGTTGTGATTTATGAAGTATGGACTCCAATAAGGACACTCGATATGAAACAAACAGGGTAATGTTCAAAATATCAAAATATCACATGACAAAAATCTAAATTGAGAATTAAGATAAATACTGTTCTGCTAGGATGTCAGTAATGCTTGGTGAAGCGGTGGAATAGAGTCTTGATGTGGTGGAATGAATCTGCGGTACAACGGCGTGGGGGTGGACCTGGAAAGTAAGCACTACAATGCCTAAGTCTCTAGAGGAGTAAAGTGATTTTAGTGTTAGTGAGTACCTCAAGTGTCATGCGAAATATGAACAGCAATTATGGAGGTCCCCTACTATTTTGGCATGGAACAGGGAAGACCGTCCAATGGCATCTAACGGTCCATAGCAGCCCTGACGTGGATCCAGTGCTGAGCTCTAGAGTAAGGTTGTACTGTACCTTATATGCTTTAGTGGAATGGCCAAGACTAATGATTGGGCTTCCTACCTTTGGTCTAGTCGCTGACTCAGAACAAATACATTAATCTTCTAAGTTATAGTAATGATAATGACAGTCAGAAAAAAGAATACTAAGACTAAGAGGAATCATTTAGTGAAATCCTTGCATGAATAATTCTAAGAAGATGAATCATGTATAAAGAGCCACATAAAAAATTGAAAATGCATCATTTTGCTAATTGTTTCAAGAAGTTAAACATCTAATCTAGGGTTTGGAGTGTTCGAGAAGTGTCTGGTTTAGAGTTGGTGTCAGCTTGGTCTCTTGGCTTGTATCCAAAATGTGTCTTACAGGTGCCCGAACCCCAAAAAGAAAGTTGTTAATCTCACACTGTTAAGAGGTGTTTGGGGCATGTCCAAGGTGTGCCAGAGGAGTGTCGGTTTCCAAAACGTGTTTGATACGCCGACACCATACTTCAGAGGTGTGTATGTGCAAATGTTAATGGATGATTTGTAACAAATGCAGTCATCTTACTGTAGACACCTTGGGTTCTTATGTTTCAATCAGATGGACTTTTTACTTAACTAAGATACTTCTTGCATTATGAAGGAAACTAGTTTTTTTTTGGGTGTAATTGTCAATGTACTGTTTTCAAGTGTGACAAATGCTTTAGTCGTCTACCAATGGCTTACACAAAGTTCCTGCCTCAGAATTGAGTGTACCACAAACTGCTTTGGAATCCGGAACATAATGTTGTTTCAGTACTCAAGTAGATGAGTAAGTTGTTATTGGATTTAGTAATTACTTAAGTTTTGCAATTATGGACGAGCTCGATGTCCAATAACAGAAGCAACAGCTGTTTATGTACTGATTAATATATATTGATTTTCTTTGTTGGAATCAGTACTGATAATTTTATTCAATTTTTAGGATATGGAATCTATTGTGGAGACCATGATGCAACAGCTTCTGTCCAAGGAGATACTTGCCGAACCAATGAAGGAAATTGGAGAAAGGTATCCTAAGTGGTTAGAAGATCATAAAGCCAGCTTAAGCGAAGAAGAATATGAACGGTATTCACAGCAATACGAGCTGATTCGGAATCTTAACGAAGTTTATGAAAAAGATTCGGGAAACTTCACCAAGATTGTTGAGCTTATGCAGAAAATGCAAGACTGTGGACAACCTCCAAATGATATTGTCCAGGAGCTTTCTCCCGGTTTTGACTTAGCCAGTTTTGGCCAGATGTAAGTTCCTTCTTGTAGCAGTAATCTCTATTTGCTTATTCAAAACCAAATGATTATGCCCACGGACATGCATTTCTCTTGTAGTTGTCAAACTACACATCAGCTGATACAAATATTTTCTTTTACAGATCTCCAGAAATGCTTGACGGTTCTCAGCCAAATTGTTCTATAATGTGAAGTCGTTTCCTCCCTCTTATCACGCGGCAGCTGCTGGTTTGCAGATTCTCAGGAACATTTATTTTTCACTTGTCAGAATAATATAGTTTCGAATGTTTTCTTTTCCTGCTTTACTGTATGATTACAGGATCTCACTTTTTATAGCTTCATTTCAAGTTTGTATATCATTCAGCATTTCATCTTCTTTATTCACGGTGGTCGGTTACCATTTTACTTGAATTTTTGGCTTTTAAAATAAATAAAAAAGATAACCACATGGCTCCTCTATCACCTTTATAATCTGAATTTCTTTATTGCCAAATATTTTATGATTTCTTGCTTTTCATATGTACCAAGTACAGGCACACCACATCACCCGACGTTTCAGGGCCAACTCTTTCCTGCCTCCGAGTAAATTTTCAAACTGCATCATGTGTTGCCACCCTTCATTGTGTAAAGATGTTGACACTCCTAACCATCTCCATATGAAGTTCCAAACACATGCAAAACATTGGCACTCAAGAATATGAGATACCGACTCCTCACTCTCGGAACCCCAACGCACCTAAACTGATCATGCATAGTAATTCCCCTCCTATCTAAATTATCCTCTGTTGCAATCCTATTTTAAATTAGTCTTCAAACCAAACACGATACTTTTGATAAAATTTCTTTGTTCCAAATCTTCGACCACGACTTTCACGACACAATTGTACCTTCGGGCATAAGACTCTTGTAAACATTTTTACTAAATTGTACCTTCGGACATAAGACTCTTGTAAACATTCTTCACGGAATATTTGCTTGAGACTCTTGTGAACATTCTTCATGGAATATTTGCTTAAATCTTTCCGTCTTTCTAAATCTAAATTACACACCTCTTTCCACCATCATAAACTACCTCTTGCCACTAAATAAAATCTCTCCACATTTAAACCATATCTATTTACTCACATCTTTCCACCATCATGAACTACCTCTTGCCACTGAATAAAATCTCTCCACCATCATGAACTACCTCTTGCCACTGAATAAAATCTCTCCACATTTAAACTGTATCTATTTACTAAAGTTGCTCTTCACATTTAAACCGTATCTATTTACTAAAGTCGAAAATCAAATGCCCATTTTTTGTCATTATTCTCCATCTCCATTTTTTCAATAAAGCTGAATTAAAAGTCCCTAACCTTTTGATACCCAAACCCTACATCTTTAATTAGCCTCCAGACACGATCCCATTTGACCCAATTTATTTTTCTCCTTAATTCAACACCCCCATAAAAATTGTTTAAAAATGAATTCTAATTTAAAATTAATACATGTTGGAGCCTTGAAGAAAGAAAGATAGTAGATTGAAATCGCAAATAAGATCGATTTTAGCATGACTATTCGACCCCAATGAATAAATGCTTATTCTTCCAATTAGATAGCCTTATTTTCACATTTTTTTCACTCAATCCCAAGTTTCCATCCGCTTTTCATTAGCACCATTAGTTAGATTGAGATACGATATAGAAAAGAAACTCGTACCATACTTTAGAATATTCGTCGCCTCCTCTATCCAATCTTGAGAGACATTGATCCCCACTAACTTACTCTTAAGTAAAATAACTTTTAATTTGGACAACGACTCAAACAACATAATTAACCCCTTAATAATTTGAATATTAGACCACGATTTCTCACCAATAATCATGACATCGTTCGCGTATTGTAAACGTGAGAACCTCTTGTTTCCACCATCGAATTTATATTCTAACTTGAATTATTTATAAAATGATAAAAGATAATAGAATGAAAGAGAATTTGTAAACCACCGTATAACTACTAGTCAAAGAGAAATAGACTAACCAAATCTCCATTTTGGTTTTATGTTTACATATAGATTTCATGTTGTTATTAATCTTTTCATTTAGTTATAAAGTTTAAGTATGATTGATCAATTTTTTTTTAAAGATTTGTTTTAGATTTAAAGATTTGTCATACAAGATCACTCGTTTTACGTTTAAAAAATGTTTTTATTTAATCCGTGTCATATAAAAATCCTGTTTTTTTAAACCTTTAAGTGATCTTAGTCAATCAATATATCTTTTTGTTTATTGAGTAAAATTTATTTTTTTTTCTTTTTAATTTCAGCTTGACCAACTTATGTTGCATCATATATTTTATTATTTTAATGATTTATTCTTTTACACTTTAGGAAATAAGATAAATGAGTTATCCCTTCGCGTCCTCTCAATTTGGCCTACCACAATAAACACATATGGCCTCCATTGAAGAAGTACTATCTAAGAAGAAAAATATAGTGGATTGTAAAAGTGTTGAACGAAGAAGAAGACAATAGTCTCATATCTCCGTTCATCCAAGAAGGCATCTAGTTTTTCTCGTATTTTCAAACTTTTAGATTCGTGTAGTAGATAAAAACTTTGGTGTATGTCTTATCTAGAACAGATAACACTTTTGTTCAATATTGTCTTCCATCCCGACGAGGCAGGGGTTTTGCTAGAGAACTTGCAATATTTTATCAGGGTGGGGTTCAAACCATTATAAAATTCTAAAAAATTAGGGTTTCATTGAGGTATTGAACTTAGTTCTTGGCCTATGTTATGAAAGAAATGACTTTAGAATTTGAAACAAACTTAAAGGTATAGATGAATCATTTGTGGAAAGTAAGATGGATGAACGTGTTGTAGATGTTGCAGTGTATGCTATTGGAAATTATATTGAATGACATTTATATGTTGAACACAATGTGAAAGGCATCAATGTAAAAATAGTTGAGTCTCAATGCATTGATCCAAATGAAGGGATTGAATCGAATAACGAAGAAGATAAACAAGAAGAAAGTGGTGATGATGTAAGGAGGCTTAAGTTTGATGATAGTGAAGATGACAAAACCACTACATTGAATAATGAATTTTGACAATATTAAAGTTTTTATGCCCAAATATCATACAAATAGAGTTGAAATATGAGGCAAATTATATAGGATTAAGGTTCGTACCACAAAATCATCTCAGAAAAAAGTTGAAACAAAGATTACCAAAACTCATAAAACCAATGATTTTCAAAAAAAAGATCAACGAAAAGAGCAACATGTCAGTGATGAAGAAATTTGGCGGGGGTACTCTAATTAGGAATTTGGTGATGGAAGCTTCCAAAGCAACATGTTATTAAGGATGATAAGAACAAATGCTTGAACTTAATAATGTTAATAAAAATGTATGAGAGTGGTTGATGGGTGTTCCAACAAAGACTTGGTGTAACCATATTTTTAATATTTAATAACAAAGACTTGGTGTAACCATATTTTTAATATTTAATATCTATTCAGATGTGATGTCTTGATGAATAACATATTTAAGTCATTTAATGCCACAATATTAGGTGTAAGGGATAAATTTATATTAGTGAATACAAAACTACCTAATGAATAGGCATTACAAAAAAAGAGTTTTCTCCACGAAAAAATTGTTAGAAAAACACAATTGTTTCAAAATATAGTTTTTCAACAACTAGATGTCAAAATTTATTTTTTGTCAACAATAAAAATTGTTGCTATTTCTTTTATACCTCATTCCAAATGTAGTTGGCATTATTAAACTTTTCCAACTTAGGTCAGTTAATAAAAACATAAATATTTATAATATTTTTTTTGAATTAGTATCATTCACACTTTTAAAAAAAAATAAAATTATAACTTATGGTTTATTTTCTACAAGCATGAACACAAAATTTACATGTTTTACAAATAAAATTATAACTTCCGACAACATGAATATTAATTTACATTTTTATTTCGAAACTTTCTTTATGAAGTAGTTGAAACGATTTTATTTGATCTACATTTTAGTATAAAATTAGTCTATATCTTCATTCAAATTCTACAAAGTCCCTTGTATCATCAATACATTCATCATTCTAATTTTCTATTTCACCACTGAATTCAAATATGACCTTATAATGTTATGCTAGTTATTATTTCTTTGATTTTATCTTAACTCATATGTGATGCTACTATGAATGAAATAAAATAAGCTTGACTTTTTCAAGTAAAAAAAGATTTGGAGTTGTTTAAATATCCAATGATACCTATTTCTATCCTCCTATGTCACTACAGGCTTAAAAAGTTTAATACAGGAACAAATCAGGCACACCATACACCTATGTAACTAACTGCAAAACAATCTTATATACACAATAACACCTTTCTTTGTTCCTGTCAATGTTTTCATGCCCAATTAGAAACCTCAATATAACTTGTTAAACCAAGAAGGTGGTGGTGATTCACCTAATCTAGGCATAAAACCTTCCCTTTCTAAAGAAACCTGAAGTCCAGCCATTATCCTTGTTATCGATGTCCACAAAACTGGCGCCACACAGAATGCATAACCGAACACACATAAAGCTCTTACTACTCCATCTGAATACCAAGGAAATGCCATGACAATTAGAACTCCAATAATACCGAACCACGGCATCAGAACTGGTAACATTGGAAGAAGAAATGCGTTGATTGCAACCAAGCATAGAGCCAAAGTGCCGAGAAAATACAAGGGCCAGCCTAGCATAGGGTGAATTGTTGGAGGAATGGTGAAGAAGGGTGTCACATAAGCGGCAAGAATACTCCATACTGCTACTAATTTGAGGATGTTTTGCACCAATGTGATGCTCTTATCGGAGCGACGGTAGCATAGTTTTGAGAGGCTTGGCCTTGCTAAACGCGTCATTGCTATTATTCCAAGATATATCGCAGATTGAATGAATATCACAGCCATCTCTGTCCCATATCTGATAAAAAGAATGAGCGATTTTTGCTATAAGTTACATATTTGAACAAAAATAAGTTTATAACAGAATCTATTAACAAAAACTTGATAGAACCAAACTCGAGTATTATCCAAAGTTAGACACAATAAGTTAATACACTTATAATGGAACTTACCCCAGAGTTTGACGACGCTTTTCATGCCACTGGAGGCCTAATGGCAGAACAGGCCACGCCCACCAATACCATGGCTTCAACCACGGTGCCCCCGGGAATGTAATCACGCTATTTGGTCCACAAGGGACGCTCCAATGAAGTTTGAGATCTGAAGTCAGGATCAACGTTAGCATAATTCAGAATCAAAATCTAATATATGCAACAAAAATCCCTTTAAAACTTACAGTAATAAGAAGCATCCATTTGATAGCCTAAAGGAAGTCTATATGTTCCATCAAGTTTGGTGCCATTTGGAGGTGGATGAAACAATGGCTTATCAAGCAACTCCGGGAAGTAGCTAGCTATGAAACCCTGATCTGCACCATCTGGATTTTCTCTCCCATTTTGTAGTTCACGAACCATGTCATTGAACACTGTCGTTGATGGCTACAAATATCAAATAATTATAATACATACGAAAAAAATCTACTAAGATGAATCACCTTTCACATAAAAACAAATGTGTGTCATTTTGGAGTTAAGCAGAACTTTCGTGGCAATTTAAATGTGTAGGACGTTTTGGAAAAACATACCTGCAAGACAAAGAGACCAGTATGAAAAACACAAGGATTGATAAAGACAGCACAAAACTGGCCACATTGAAACAATTCGTCAGTCTTTTGTATGAAGAGGTTGTCAGCATCCAACATGACTACCCTGTCATAATCCACTAAGCTCCACGCATAGAGCTTATTCAAAGATAATTTGAACCTTTTGTCAAAATTATCTTGATGCTTGTAAGGATTATCCATATTTTCCACTCTTACCACTTTCACACCATCTTCTTTTTCACTACACAAAGTCATAAAGAAAGAAAAATATGGTCAATTATGCAACTCAATTATCAACTCAATCAAGTTACTTAATACATACATACACGCAACTAACTTGTCCAATACATGATAAAAAGTATCAATACTCAAACTTTGTAATTTAATGGATCAAATATTATGCCTTTTTCATATAAAGCCAAACCTTAATGTATTGGCTTTTGCTTTATCTAAACTAGTCTTTTGGAAAAAAAGAGTATGAAAAGCAACTAAACTTTATGTAGTTCAGATATAATGGTTATTCAATGAATCTAAAAAGTAAACAAGGATCGGAGATAACCATTTGAACTCGGACTCATAAATATGAGTTACACTTACAAGACAATTCAAAAAAATCTAAAGAAAGATTTTGACGCGTAAACACACGCCGGGCTACTTCCGCCCCTAGCCAGAAATCAAAAGGACAGTCTTAATTTCAGCCAACATGTGGGTGTAGAATTCCCCCACAAATTTGTTCTCTATCTTATAATAGTATGGCTGTATGGACCACCACATTGACAGTCTAAATCCTTGCCATCAATTTCATTACTGTCACAACGACAAACTATTCATAATAATAATAATAATAATGAAGCTTCAATAAATAATATGCATATTATTGATAAGCATATGATGTAAGTAAGAATTTTGTATCATTGATTTTTATTATTTTTTCATCATAACTGGAAATTAGTATGTAAATATTATTGGTAAGAATACACCTGTAAGTGAGAATAAAGTACCCCACAAGTACACATGCTTCACAACTAGCAAACTTTAAAATATTTTAAAATTCAACTTGGTGTTATAAAAAAATAAAAATGAAAGATAGTGCATGATAAAAAACAAGTCTCTCAAAAAGAAAAAGAAAAATAAGGACAAGGCACGAAAGAAACCAGAAAGAAGCATCCTAAAAAAATGTTAAAACAACTCGCAATTCCAAAGCGTTTACAACACCACTAGTCACCTAGTCAAAACACATGTAACAACTCTTACCGTAACGGGTTATGACTAAAAAATGAAAATAAGAAAATGAATACTTAAAAAGGAAAAATAAATAAAATAAAATATCTATCTAATTTAAAATGGTATAGTAGTATGCAAGAAGCGCGTGTGCGCGTGGAGGCAAAAATAGGATTTTATCGGGATCTGACAGAAGATACCATTGAAGCCGGACTAGGACGGTCGGTGTTGTAGTCATCCGTTCTCAAAAACCCAAAAACATCAAACCAAAATCGGTCCCAGACAAAACCCTAGTCCAAACTCATCTTTTGTTTCATTTTTTTCTTTTCTATTTTTCTATTAATCTAATCTCTTGATATCATAAAAAAAAAATAATAATAAAAAAATCAACCTTAGCGGATGTTTCGGGGGAGCAGCACCAGCAGCAGCAACAACAACTATAGTAACTAACAATTGTAAACATGAGAAATAGACTTACAGAGCTCGAACCCATCGAAGAGGAACATCAAGAGACGCAATAACAACAAGATCAGCTTCAACATTGAGAAGAGCGAGTGATTTGAAAAGAACTCGTATTGCGATGTAGAATTCATAGTCTCTCGGTGTACCCACGTACATCATAGTAGCATATGCATTTTTGTGTTGTTCCCCTTTTACAACTGGGTTTGAAAAACATAATAACAACACCACCAACAACCACTGTGTCATGATAAAACCTGCGGCATTGTTGTGTTCGAGTTGCTGCTTTGCGCAACCCATGAAGAGAAAAAAGTGTTTGTTGAGTAATCTTGTAATGTTTCTTTGAGTGTTTGGGGTTTATTTTGGTTGATTAATAAAAAGGAAAAACGTTGAAAAAGAGAAAGTGAGGAAGAAGAAAACAGCTTTATATATATTTTTAGGTAGCTACTAGTCGGGTATCCACTCAAATAACAACGAGTCTCTTCACATTATATTGTATTATATGAATCCTTTTTAAAATATCTACTTTCCTCTCTCTCATAAAGTCCTGAACTAAAATTTTATTTAAAATAAAGTTAATTTTTTAATAGAAAAAGTGCTGCAAAAGAATACTAATTCAGAAATTAAGATAGATATAAAGTATGTTTCTTTAAAAAAGATGATTTTTTTAAATAGTTGAATATATTTTAAATTTATTTTTATTAATTAAAAAATAACTTTTGTCATTATGTAATATAAATATATATTATTAAAAATTAAAACATAATTAAAATTATATAACTTTTTCAAAAAATATATTTGAAAAATTACTTAAAATAATTTAGATTTAAGTGATTTTTGAAATTTGATATTTAAGAAAAATATAGCCAAAAGATTAAATATCTAAAATATTAAAATATTTAAACTAATATTTTATTTTAAATTCTTTATAAATGTTTTAAACAAAATATATAATGTATATCTATAATCTATAATAATATATATAAAGGCAAAATTTAATTTTGGTGTAGCCTATTTTTCTACCAATTTTATCTTTATTTTGTGTATAATTTACACAATAACTTTCATTAAAATTATTACTATTATTTTTCACATAAACTTCTCCTATTAATTTCATATTTAATTTTTTATTATTAATCTTTTACCTAACTTCTATTTAAAATTATATTAAATAAAAATATATAATTTATATTTTTTACGCGTGCATTAAAAAAATGGACAGACGGGCACGCGAGTCGAACGCTAATATATAATATATAATATATAAAGGGAATACTTTATTTTGGTGTGACTTATTTTTCTACCATTTTTACTTTTATTTTATTGTATAATTTACTTAATAACTTTTTATTATTAACTTCCAAATAACTTATTATTATTTTAACTTTCACATATTATATTTATAAAAAAAATTATTTTAACAAAAAAATATTGTTTATATTTTTATACGCATTAAAAAAGCTAATAGACGGACACTGTTCGTCTATACACTGAACGCTACTGTTATATAAAAGAAGTTTTAAATTTTTTTTAAAAAAAGCACGCCCTTATATTTATTTTAGGGTCTAACAAAAACATTTTACCGGTATATGATTTCTCATTTATAGTTTGTATAAAAATTATCTTCAAACACAATTACTCTAATAAAAATTAGAAGCTTAATTGCATTTTTTTTCTCACATAAAATCAAACTACAACCCTCCTTATCAAATTCAAGCTAATCGACATTAGACTAATTAATGTTGGGTAGCTTAACTTTGATTTTCATATTATCCTTTTTCTTATTCTCCATTTTAAAATTTGGGATTTTAACTTTTTCATTTTGTTATTTTTGGATATTAGTAAAAGTAAAAATAAAAAGATTAAAATGAATATTGTCACGTAAATACCAATCATTTGTAAACACTGACCATCTTTTATTGTGTTTATTTTCCTTCCAAATTTGGAAATCCTAAAACGATTGTCTTTTACATTTTTTCTTAGCTGACTGAATATAATATCGCATCTGCATTTGTGTATCCTCCACTATTTTTGTGTTATGCATTTGTTCGTCCTTTACAGTGAACTTGCATTCTTTCATTCGTCTGTGTTAAAAATGTCGAACACATCTTATGTATAGAGGTTGTCGTAATCTAAAATTTGACCTCCCTCTTGCCTTTTGCATGAGCATGTGCTTTCGCATCATTGGCATACGCATTCGCATTTTTTCTCTGTGATTTTTGTTACAAGAATATTCAGGTTTTACAAGCCCGATTAATATCCTCTCAAAGATATCACTTCATCAAAACAAGCACAAAATGAAGGTTTCTATGCCTATTCATCAAAGCAAAAGGTCAAAAATCGGAACTGTGACCACAACACCATTTTTCAAACAAATATGCAAGTTTTGCCTGAAGTAACCGGTTACCCATTTTCTAGGCAAAACAGAGTAACCGGTTACCCTGTGTAAAAATGCAGTTTTTGCTGCATTTTTGTGACAGCCACTTTCACTCTACATTTTGGGGGTCTACTTGGTTTTAGCATTGTGTGGAACACTCTAGACATGTCTAGATGATTCAAGACCTTTCTAAACACTTCAAGGCATTTGGTCCAATACATCAATTTGGATTAAGACCACCATGTTGCTTAATTCTCAAGCATGTGAGCCCTTAGGTTCAAGTTTGCATTGGGATGGTTACCGAGTCAACTACCTAACTAACTGAGTTAACCTCCAACTCAGTGAGTTGAGACTAACTAACTCCAAGGCTAGTTCCAAGGGTGCATCCAAAGCTCACTCCGAAGCAAAACTCTATATAAGCAAATCACCACCATTTCACAAGGGGGTTCAATCATTTTCTCAATTTCTACATTCTTCATTCTTAATTCTCTCTGAATTTTCTACAACATTTTCACCTTCATCTTCATCCTCTCTCAAAAACCCTCACAAAAGCTCAATTTCTACCATTAAAGTGTAACAATCTTCACATCGAAATTGTTATTCTCTTGAGCTAAACCTCATTCCACCATATTCTTACTTGGATTTCTGGATTTACAGTAGATTCTTCTCCAATTCAAGTACTCATCTCAAGCTTCTTCGGTGCAAATCGGTATTCAGAGCATTTATCGCGTTTTTATCGGTTTCGCTACGATTTAATCTCAAGCTTGGAACTCTCTGGTTTTCTTTGCTTAATCCTTATCACATATCAATAGCAACAATCACCAAGGCAATCCTCCACCTTTTAGATTGATAATTCACACTTGATTTACTGTTTTGATCACTTTCGTGCATTTACGATGTAGTTCGATCATTTCTTAGTGTTGATTGATCATGTGATTGTTTGATCTTTGATCTTCATGTTTAATGCTTTCAATTTATGTTTAGTTGGTGCCTAAGTGATTTTGAACTTCATTTTTCGTGCTCAAGTGTTAATAATGGCATGTGGAGGTTCGGATAAGTCTTTTGGTTGCTAAAAGTGATTTTTCAAAAAAGTTGTTTTTGCCATTGTCGTAGTGGTAACCGGTTACTCACTTTCTAGGAAAAACAGGGTAACCGGTTACCCTATACAATTTTCACCTAATTCTGCATTTTTTAAGCAAGTAATCGGTTACCTGATTATGAGTAACCGGTTACCTCAGTGGCAGAATGCCATTTTTTTGCCTATTTTCAAGCTTGTTTGCTATCCTTTCCTCATGTAACTTCCATGGCTCGACATGCTTGACATTTGTGGTTGTTTTATGAGCTATTTAACTTCTGTATGAAGCATGTATGCAAACTTTCAATGTGTGATTTTTCGATTCTCGATCATTCGCATCTTTTGACATCATTGTATGATCATGATCTTTCTTGCACATTCCTTGATCACATGCTACATGATTTGTGATGCATACTAATTCCATTTGGTACTGTTTAACACTTTCATTCATGTTTGCATTAATTTTGTTCCTCATGGGAATGAACTTAATCTTGTATAATCAATAATTCATCATTCGCTTCAACGATTTTTCATCTTTTTGAAAAATTGTTAGCATCTTCCCCTTTTGATGGATTAATCGAAACTTCGTTTCAACTAATCAATCCTTCCCTTTTTCTTCTCCTTTGGATCGTCTAGAGTTTTGTCCTCTTTTTTCCTCGTGGAGTTGAAGATATGCAACGCATTTGAGCACTATACAAACTTAGCACCGTTGTGCTACCCATTTCATTTCTTGCACCGTACTTTGGTGTTAGAGAAGGAATGAGAATGGAGAATTCCTACACTCATTTTGACTATTTTGGGTAGGGGACGAATGATCCTGTGCCTGGAATAGTCACCTCTATCTCCTTATTATGGTATCCTTGCTTTCTCCAGTCGAGTCGATCCTTGATTACTTGCACCCTTATCTCCTCTTTGGAAGTAACTTCCTTCATTCAATTCAACACTCTTTTCTGTTGAGGCCAATCCATTCTTGGTTCCCTAGATATTTGTAATCACTTCTTTTCTTGGCTATTCCACCGTTCTTTGGATAAAACCAATTCTCTTCTTTCCCAGCGAAGTCAGTCTTTCTTCTTCGGTTTACGCAGTCATCCTATTAAAACCTAATACCCATCAGAGTTCACAACCTTCTCTTGGTTCTCTCTCCTTCGTGTTTGGTTAATCACCGCCTGTCAGTTAAACACCAATTTGCTCTTTTCCTTAGTTAATCACAATCCGTCTGTTAATATTGAATTTTCTTTGGATTAATCGCCTTCTTCCAACTAATCACCCGATCTTTGGTTGATCACGGTCTGCCCATTAAAACCAGATTTTTCTTTGGGTTAATCACCTTCTCTTGGTTAATCACCCGTCTTTTGGTCAATCACAGTCCGCCTGCTTTAACCAATCACTATTCTTCTCAGTTAACCACAACCCGTCTGTTAAGATGATGAGTTTCTTTTGAGTTAATCACCTTCTTTTGGCTAATCACGCATTCTTTTCGGTTAATCACAGTCTGTCTGTTAAACACTATACCCCCTGAAGTTAGCAACCTTTCTTTGGTTTAAACACTGCCAATTTTAGGTTAGTAACCTTTGTTTGGTTCAAATACCCATTTTCTTTGGCCAAGTGCTGATTGTTCAGTCAATGTGTCGTTCTTTGGGTCACAACCTTTGCTTGGTTCCACACCCGTCTCTTGGTTGATCACCATTTATCGGTTAAAACCAGTTCCTTTCTCCTTCCATTTAATTACTTTTTATTAGTTAATATATCAATTTCCCCTTAAAGTCAAACATCTCCCTTTGGTTCAGTACTCTCTTTCTCTTGGTTCGTCACAGTACGCCTGTTGACACCAACCTTTTTACTCTTCTC